CATTTGAAGGCGAGGGTATCTCTAGCACTTCCTTTCCGGGAGTGCGCCACGCACGCGCCTGTACTTTCGAAGCCCTGTAGTTAAAAATTTGGGAGTTTTTCAATTTTGCTATGGCTTGTGAATGCCAGTCATTATGATCGTTGTTGTGTTGTTGTTGGAGCATGAACTAGAGGATGCTAGCCCCTGCTCCTTCCTCTCTCCAACTCCGTTATTGTAAATGTCGATAGCACCACTATTTCGGTCGCTCGTCTCTGCCTTGAGGACCCTGTCCACCTCCCCCTTTCCGGGAGCTACATGGGACCCTTCGTCTGAGTCGGTTATACGGACGGTCGACCCTGGGCCATTTCGCGCATTATGGAGAATTCAGTGGCGGAGTAGGGAAGTATACACATGGAGCAGGTTTTCAACGGCAACAATGACCTACTGAGCCATTGATCAACGAAAGGTAGAAGAGGTGGGAACGGGGTCGTGAAGGAGAGGGAAGGAAGGTCGTATTCAGCGTGGGTAAGGGGATGAGGTGCTGTATTGCTTATAATTCTTGAATTTGTTATGTGTTCAGAACTCTCATGCTGCGGCTACCGTAGTCTCGTGCGGAAATACATGCGTCCCCTTCCAATATTGCTTCTTCTTGAATGCAATTCATTCCTTGATCGATGTTCTTGGGTGTATTCCGAGGGGGAGGTTTGCAATATTTTGTTTCGCCTGCAAACTCTAATTTTTGCACTGGGAGCAAGTCCTCAGGGGCGTGAATCACATCGCGCCCACCTCCCCACGCATCCCGGACCCTCTCTCTTGAACAAAAACTGAGATTACAGTAGGAGGCATGAAGATCTACCCACATGTTCCTCCTAGAAATGTACCCCACATCTGTCATAACGATTACCGCACCGATTTGCGTACTCATTTATATAAAGTTTCGTTTTCAACCGTAGAACAGAGTGTTTGCGACGCAATAACTGACTACCGTAGTTTTGCAGAATTCCCATCCCGTCTCGCCTTCGGAATTTCATAACGTGTTCAGCTGTGGTTTGGGATCTGATACTGCTTCATTGCTTCAATGGCATACGTTGATATCTTTTTCCCGTATCGATTTAGAAATTTCGTTATCAAACGCACTGAACATGATAAATTTCACAGGTGTCGGTCGTTTCCGATTCTTATTGATTACAGCGCTACATCTCTTTATGCTCAATTCAAAAGCCCCGATGTCTCGCGTCACGTTTTACTTTTGCGAAAATTCTTATTTTTCTCTCGTTAGGGATCGTTTTGTTAATGCGTCGTTGCTCTGTAAACATTGTTTGCCCACCTACGTTTCTGTGGTTTTGCTGCGTTTTGAAACTGCTTTTTACATTTTCAGAACAGCTCATTGGGTGAATACATTGGCGGCTTGCCCTTCGTGCTTACAAGATGTCTAAATTCTTCAAAGGAGCTGTCAGCTCTGAGTCGTCGTCAGAATCCGACGTTTCTGATGTTGAGGAGGAGGTACCGACCAAGAAAGTGCCACTGTGAGTTTTTTTTTCTGTTGTGTATGTGCTTGCTATAGGTTCATGTTTCAAATTGATGGCCTAATGTGGAGAGGGGGCACTTTCTGGGATGGTTCTAGAACTAAGCATAACGGAGAGGAAGTTCCTGAAAGAATTAGAGTCAACATACACCTCCGATACCTCTTTTCCTCGATGTTCTGTCCTGAGACTGAGCGTCTCCGTGATTCCGAATCAGCGCAGGGGCCTACACCCACTTTCCCCCCCCGCCTCCCAGGGGCGCGATTCATGCCTCCCTAGGGGTGGGGGGGACGGAAAATCCCGGCTTAATGATTCTTCCCTGGCTATCCGAAGGGGGGTTTGTCCTGTGTATAATTGGCCTAGTTTAAGGTGTATTTATGCTATGTCATGTAATCATGCGAGTTGACATGGAGGAAACTGACATCGATTCGTAAACAAAATAAAGTTAAAGGGGATTTCCTTATCCTCAAACCCCTGGGAAGGATTGGAGAGGACGCCTCCAGAGGTTTCAGGAGCTACCTAGAACTTTTGTCCTGGTATCTCCGACGAATGGACGGACGGACGACGGACACGTTAGAGATATGGCGCCTTGCTCGGCTAGCCAGAGTCCGGGATTAAGCCCACCTCTGCGCTCCGATCGCGGTCCCTCTCGCGTTCTCCTGAAGGTTTGAAGTGCATAGTGGGCATTTCACTCGTTCTTCCAAGTCAGTCTTGTCCCTATGCCATCGCGGCAGACATGAAGATAAATCTCGATAGTGAGGTTTGTAAACCGGGAAAGAGTGAGAACGTCTAGATCTAAGCCTTTTGGAGGCAGGGAGAGATTCTTCCAGGTGGGTTCAGTTAGTCCGTCAACCCCCCTCCCCGTGCTCGTGGGAGACATTGACGCCTCATTTGCATGTAATCTAAATAAGTGAATCTCTAAATTTTTATTGCACCTTACTGTATAGATCTGAGTCTAGTCAGGGAAAATTGCTTCCACATAATCCAATATGCGTCTATCATGGATGGTGATTAGCCTTCTTAATTGCCGGATGAACGTCGCTCCTCCTAATATGACCGTTGCAGCGTCAAAGGCCAGGCTTGACATTGCTTCATCCGGGTTACCACAGTTAAAAAAAGTTGTGCTGCGCGCGTTTGTCAACCCTTCTCGGTGCAGGGATTTGCCTCCCTGGTCTATGCTCAAGCTCTGAACGTGCAATTCATTCTCAATTGGGTCGTTTAAATGTTGAACAACTCTCCGGCTGCACGATTTATGTTCGAGTGCTTCGTGAATTGTCGCCTATCCGAGTGGACAGTGAAGATCTAAAAGAGAAGACGCGTGGGGGGCAAGTAGTGGGGCGTAGACGTCACAAAGAGAAGAAAGTTGGTATTATGACTCTAGAGCACAATCAACAAATCAACATAAATGGTGCAAAGAGAACAAGCAAAAGATTTTACAAAAATCCTTTCAGGTTGTGTTAATTTTATTTCCAATTGTTGAAACTGAGATGCCAGGTTCTTACGTTATTCCTTGTGTTTACGTGTTTTCGACGATTTTAGTGTTTAGCGTATCGACAAATCAAAAAACGGGGGGGTTGTTTGCCCGGCAGAATATTTCGACGCCACGCTTCTACATAAGGTTTTATTACATCTCTATTCTTTTTTTGAACAACTGCAAGTTGATAGGCAGCCTTCGGATGTGCCTGAACGGTGTCTATTAAGAATGTACAGAGTACGATGCGGTCACAATCCTTGGGCTTTCTATCCATTTCACACGGGCTTTAAGTAAACAAATGTCTGAAAAAATTTTTCTATTGTTTCGTTGTGGTCTAACGATTTTCTCTTGTTAAGGTATATGGTCGACTTAGAAGATTACGTAGCTAACTTCTGGGAAAACAAAGAAGCCAAAACTGTAAGCCTCTTTTTATATTCTGATCTATTAGTTGTCGTGTTTTAGCCGTGGTCACGATATCGTTTTAGGCGTTGTCCAAGGTGAACCTGAAAGCTCTCACAAATTTGCGGCAGAAAGTTCGGAAATATGTGAAAGAATTCGAGCAGAAGATAGCAGAGTATCGCGAAAGCCCTGATCCGCCTGGCTACGAAACTCCAGAAGAAGAGGAAGAGGTCTGAATATGTTTACATCTTCGTCTTAACGTTGTAGCTGTGCTCGGTTCTGGATGCCCTACTGCAATCTCCAAGTTGATCTCTCGGTATGACTGCTTTATGTGTTTTAGGCGGAAGAATCGGGCAATGAGGCTCATATTGCTGCCGCGCCCGCAGGAAAGGAAAAGAAGAAGGATGTCATGACTAGTGAAAGCGAGGTGTCTTTTCGATGCTTTAGTTTCGAAGCTTCTTCCTATTCTTCGAATTAGTCGCGGTCGTTAACCGCAAGCTAACTGAGGGTAGTCATTTTTGTTTCGTTATCCTTTTTTTTTCTTCAGAGCGACTCAGATTGGTCAAGTGACACGGATTCAAGCGCCTCAGATGTTGATGCAGATTTCGGTTCGAAGATGGAAGCATTGAGGAGACACTTCCTGAAGTATGTGGTTCTTGCCGTCTGTTTGGGCATGGGTCGGGCTCTTTAAGATAACTTCATAGGGTTCCGCCAAAGCTGGGATGATTAGGGAGCATACTTCGTTATTTGAACAAGACTTGCATAAAATGGAGCCGGTGTTCAGCAATAGAATTTATACGGAATGCCTTGAGGGCGTGACGAATTCCTATTAATTCACAAAAATTCCTTTGACCTTGTTACTTATTTATATACTGTAGTGTTTCTGTGGCTGACTTTTGCATGTATATGGAAAACCTGCTCATCGAATTGGTATGTGATTTTAGAAAAGAATTCCGAGGTGAAGAAGATGGTGCCGCAGACACGAAAAAGGAAAAGAAACGGAAGCAAAGAGATCAGAACAAGCCCAAAGTGAGTGCTTGACAGCTACTTCCCTATAAACGGGGATATTAGGTTTAGCAATTCTGTTTTCATTTGTTAAGATGGCGTTTTTTTCTGTTTTGTTTCGGCGCTAGTTCTATTTCCACACCTTTCGTTGCGTGAATCTTGCAACAGTTGAAGGTGGTAATAATGGAAGATGATCAGTAGGACGATCTCAGAAACGGTTTGCTATAGTTAGCAAGTGATGTGCAATTGAAATATAATTTGGGAAAATCGTAAAGTTCGACTCTAGACTTGAAACTACAGCCTGAAACTGAGCAGAATCAGTTGAAGTGTGATGTCAAAAGTTCGCCTAGTTTTTTTTTTCAGCACATAACTATTCTTCGCATTACCGTTGTTTACGATTTATCTTTATTTTTCTTCAATTGGTTTAACACTTCGCTCACAGCCGAATCCATGATATTTTTATAGGCAGCTGTTGATTTTGTTGACGACGAAGAAGACGATGGTGGTGAATGGACCCCTATTACTAAGGAGAAGCAAGTCCAGTTGTTTGAACCAAAACAAGAAGTTCACGCACGATGTGAGTTGTTTGGATTCTTGTCTTCAATACAGTGCGTCGTATATTGTTTTCCAATTTTAAATAAAGACAATCACTGTGAGTTGTAGGCAATGATAAGCAAGTTAACTGAAGTAATGGCTTCACGTGGGCGCCTTGGAACGAACAGAAAGCAGCATGTCCGTCTCTTGCAGGAGCTGTACAAAATTGCTGAAGAGGTCAGTTCAGAGTCCATCATCAAAGGTTTAACTTGATGGATGTCTGTGCAGTTGGGTACTTTGCCTCAATTTCAAATGATATTTTTTCAGAAGAAATTAGGCGTTGGAATTTCTGTGAAGATTCTGTTTAATATTATTTCATCGCTGTTCGAACTCAATACCAAGATTAGTGATTTCATGGAATTTGCAAACTTCAACAAGTGAGTTCTCGATTTTAATCCTTTTTCTGGATATTCTACTGGTTGCTGTTGCAGCGGGCTTGGTGACTGGTCTTCCTCACGGGTGTGTGAGCGTGTAACTTGTATGATCCGTTCTTCTCTGTTATTCCTTTCACTTGGCTTAGAACCCTCCTTGATATTCATATCTGATGTTTTCAATAAATTGCTCTTCTTGTTCAAAGTTTGCTATTCCGAAAGAGAGCAGGAATAACTTCACCCAACTCTTTCGTTGAAGCAAGGAAATCTTATTCAAATTCGATTAATAATTTGTTCAGTTCAAATGTTTAAGGACGCTTGTCGCTGTCACAGAGCTCCTCGATATTCTGATTCTACACCCTGAAGTCAAGCTTTCGGTCAAATTCACCGAAGAGGAAGAAAACTTGAGTACTGAGTTTGAAGTGATTATTTTTGTTAATAGCCGACCTTCTCATTCACAGCATCTGTTATTCCCCGTGGTTTTAAGGATATACCGTTGCAATACAGATCAGGATCGTGATTCTCGATGACGGTTCTCAGCGCTAGACAGTGATTGATCAAGATCTGCGAACGTCGAATTGTCACTTCAAACGTATTACATTGTAAAAGTTCGTTATATTTAAAAAAAAAATGTTTTTAGTTTTAGGAAAACTCGGTCATTTTATGACACGTATGAGGACACGTGTTTAGTTCTTCTTTTTTGCTCGGTTGTGCCCTATTATTGATTGTGTCCGTGGCTATTGCTGGTCTGTGAGGCACGGTCTCGATTTTCTACTGGCCTCATTTCGTCGGTTAGAGTTTTTAACTGTATGTGGCTCGGGCAGGTTGACTCAGAAAGGTTAGTTCGTACAGTATGTTGGAGGCAGTTTGACGAGCTTCATTTCCTCTGTTTCTTGTGTTTGTCATCTAAAAATTTCTCCATCATAGAAAATCTCCTTAATCTGTTCATGATATTTATTTTAGGCGAAAGTTGAGAAGTAGACCTGTCCACTTTGACTCGATTCGTATCGATGAAATATGTACAGGAGCCGTATCATGAGGATATATCGAGTAGATGCAGTTTTGTTCCAAGGCTGGTTTCGTGTTTACATGTACTCTTCACCTATAGAATAGAGCACCTTTACTACAAGGTGAGGATCTTGTTTGTAAAAGTAGAAAATTCTTACGTATTAAGTCATCACTGCTCCATATGTCGTTGTTGTTTCCAGTACCAAGACAATTACGAAGGCGATGAACCTGTAGGAGAAATTATGGATCGCCTCTGCAAGAAGATTTACGCTCTTGATGAGGAAAAGCGACTAAGACAGAGAGCTATGCTTTGTCACGTGTACTGGTTGGCATTGCACGATGAATGGCACCGAGCAAGGGATCTCATGCTCATGAGTCACTTGCAGGCCATTGTTGATCATTCCGACACAGATACACAGGTACCTTCCCAGCCTTGATCGAAGCCGAGTTCTGTCACTAAAGTTTCGAAATTAAACGGACATAACTGCGAACTCTTATAGATTCTTTACAATCGTACAATTTGTCAACTGGGACTTTGTGCATTCCGACATGGTTTCATCAAAGAAGCTCATCAAGGATTGTCTGAAATTCAGAACACACAACGAGCTAAAGAGTTGCTCGCTCAAGCTGTAGCAATGAGGCAGCACGAGAGAACAGCTGAACAGGTAAAGGTTTTCTATGTGTCAATTTAATTAATGAGCACATTATTCGGAGGTATACATTCGCGGTTCGCACTATTCGCAAAGTCTGACATCGGCCTTAGAAGGTCGGAGAGATTGAGAATAATTCACACCTCTTTCCTTCAGAACAAAGAATATTTTATCAGTTCCCTATAGTTTGCTATTTGCTGGACTTGCCGCAGCGGGCAAAATGCCTTTTCTCAGCTCTATACCAAGCTTAATTCCCCAACTTCAAGTCGGGGTTGAAGAGAATTTTTCACTCATTATGACATCATTTTCGTAATATTAGTGTTTATAGCGAAACTCGAGCGAAAAGGAACATGAATCAAGCCTGTCTTAATCCTTTCATTTCAGGAGAAGCTTGAACGTCAACGGCAGATTCCATATCACATGCATATCAATGTTGAGTTGATGGAATGCGTTTACCTGATTTGCTCTATGTTACTTGAAATTCCTCATATGGCTAGTTGCGAGTTCGAAATGCGTCGGCGACTACTTAGCCGAAGTTTCCATTATCAACTGAAGCAGAGTGAGAAGGTAATCATTATCACTTGTTATAGTAGTTTTGTGCACCACCACTCATTATTACATCAATCTTCTCAAATTCTTTCTCTCAGGGCTATTGTTCCATCGAATCAAGATTT